AAAAAGGTATGAAGTATAGTTGGGTCACTACAGGTTCTCATTAAGAACGAAACACAATTTTGGAGGGAAAATCCATAACAAAAAATAGCAGAAACTGAACACAAAAGATGATAAAACACCTCTCCTTTCCCAAATACTACAGGGCTCATCCTTCAACTAGATCTTCAAGGATTTTCTGTCTTCAGCTTCCAGCAAGTCCTTTTATCACCACGGTCCTATCTCCAGCAAAACTTCAAAGGGAAATATGTAAAAGCTACTCTGGTGGGCAGCTGCTAAGATAATCTCTTCTAGCATCTTCCACAGATCTAAGAATGAAAAAGCTGACTTCCACATTAAGACCAATACTAGTCGCCATCCCCAACAGTTTATTTTTAATCCATTCTAGACAGCCACAAAATATATTTATTTTAAATAAGAGTTCCATAAATATGACTTTGGTAGCCAAAAATAACACCAAAATAAATATAAAATTCAATGCTTATATCTCTGTCTCATGCAAAAACACAAAATCCTAAGTGAATGTTCCCAATTTCAAATACTGTTTCTAGAAACTATAAAATATCCCTGTTCTAAGCACTTTACATGCATTAATGCAATTATTACTCACCATAATCCTGTAAGGTACACATGGTCCCCATCTCACAGATGAACAAACTGAGGCATCAAAAGATATTAACTTGCCCAAGACTACAGAATCAGTAAACAGTAGGAGATAGGATTCTGACCCAGGCTGTCTGATTCCAGAACAATGTTTAAATTAAGTATACCATTCACTCATTTAACAAGTTTTGTTGAGCATCAATCTACCAATTCAGGTAGAATTCTGAACGCTGGGGATAGAGCTGTGAGAACAAGTCACGCCCCTGCCCTCTAGTGGGAGAGAGGCCTTGAAGCAAACAAGTGTATGGAGAAAATTGATAAATAAGTGAACAGTATATCTTCACCTAGCAATAACTGCTATGAACAAAAATTAAAATGACAGCATCAAAAGTGGCAGAGGGAGGGGCTGGCTTCTATTTTAGGGATCAAGGAAGGCCTCTATGAGGTGATGACATTGACCAGCAAACAGAAGATGCAAAGGCAAGATAACCACCAGGAGGAAGGGGTGGCCCAACTAAGAGAATAGAAGGTTTTACACCCCTAAGGTAGGAACAGTTTGATTAGTTCAAGAAATGGCAAAGGACCAAGAGACTGGGGCAGGGCGATGAAGAGTCACATGGTAAGAGGTTTAGTTAGGACTGGCAGCTGCCAAATCTCGTAATGCCCCGAGGGGCTGTGGTAAGGCGTTCTGATGACATACTAAGGATAACAGGAAGCTTTCAGAGGCTTTGGAGCACAAGAATGACAGTATGATTTATGTCTTTAAAAAGCTCACTCTGGGGGCGCCTGGGTGGTTCAGTTAAGCGCCTGACTTTGGCTCAGGTCACGATCCCAGGGTGCTGGGATAGAGCACAGCGTCGGGCTCGGTGGGGAGTCTGCTTGTCCCTCTTCTTCTCTCTGCTCCTCCCCCCACTTGTGCCAGCTCTGTCTCTCTCTCAAATAAATAAAATAAAAAAATAAAAAGATCGTTCTGATTCTTATGTGGGGATCAGTCAGGAAGAAAAGCAAAAGAATCAGGGATACCAGGGAGGGCACTGTCCTAACAGTCTAAGGAAGAAATACCGGAACTCAGACTAGGATTCATGTACTGTTCGTAAGCAGGTGAGACACTAAAAGAAGAGCATGCGACCCAACTGTCTCTCTAAAAAAGAATTTTTAAAATATGCTTCCTCCCTTCATCCTCATCCCCCCTTCCGAACTTGACTTTGAAAAAAAATCAGATTCTTTTTTAATATCCAAGTTAATGCTTCAGTTGGTGGTATATTTAGGAGAAAAAAAGATTAAAACATATTTCCTTCAGGGGCACCTAGGTGGTTCAGTCAGTTAAGCGTCCAATTCTTGATTTTGGCTCAGGTCATGATCTCAGGGTTGTGAGATGAAACCCCGAGTGGAGCCTGCTTAAGATTCTCTCTCCCTCTGCTCCCCTACCCTGGCCCCGCTCGCACACTCTCTCTAAAAAAACCAAAACATATTTCCTTCATTTATGAGTGTTCTGTTCAATATTCTATAATGTACAATATGCCACGTACACGTGTACATTCTTGAGAAACAGAAAGAAAGAGCTTTACTATTATTTAGCTTAGAGCTCCTTCATTAACTTGGAGATAAGGAGTACCTAGCACCTCTTCTGATCAGCTCTCTTCTCATGCTTTGTTTCCAGCGTATCCTGGCTCATTCTAGACTGTGAATTGCAATAAAAAATATACCAGAGGAAATATGTTATGTATTTATTGAGCATCACTGTGTACCAGGTACTCACTAGACGCCTTACATTTAAAGACTCATTTAATCCTTAACTATCCAGGATAGGAAATAATGTCTTCATTCTACACCTAAGGAAAAAACCAAATATTAGTAACTTAAATTGTCGAAGGTCACACAACTAATAAATCAGAATTTAGATCTACATCTAACTCTAAAATTCTTATCTTTCCACTACAGCAACTGTCAAAGAAAGAACTATCAAATACATGTAGTCTTCCCAACTTAATATTAATGACTAGGGCGCCTAGGTGGCTCAGTTGGTTAAGCGACTGCCTTCAGCTCAGGTCATGATCCTGGAGTCCCGGGATCGAGTCCCGCATCGGGCTCCCTGCTCAGCAGGGAGCCTGCTTCTCCCTCTGACCCTCCCCCCTCTCATGTGCTCTCTGTCTCTCTCATTCTCTCTGTCTCAAATAAATAAAATCTTTAAAAAAAAAAAATTAATGACTAGTTTGTTGCTGGTGAGGACAGGGTTTCTTTCTTTTATGCAGAACTGAGTTCTGCAGTTTGAGTAGGGAAAATTGAGTGATCCTAACTATTCAAACACATTATTTTGAAAAATTATTTTCCACTTGAAATATCATAAACATTAATCCTAAAAGAGTGATTCCTACCTTTTTAGGAAAAAAAAAAAAATCTTAATTATGTATTGTTTACCATAAAATAGGAGTAAAGTTCTATGGCAATAATCTAGTTTGGTATGGACTGATAGAGAAAAAGAGGATATGGACAAAAAGATAATCATAACACATGTAGAATTTGAGTGGCAAATAAAGAGCCTAAGAATTGAATGGAGATCCTCCTGAGAAAAATTCATCGAAGAGGGACTTTAAGTGAATCTCCAAGAATCCGGCATAGGAAACATAAGGAGGGAACCACTTGCTAGCAGCACTTGCACTGGCTAAGACAAGGCTATGTGGGAAAGCAGAGATGCAAGTTGGGAAGCAGGTCGACCGTTCTGCCAAAGGCTGGATTACTGTGTTCTCCACAGCAAGAACCAACGTTATGGTGTGCCCAGTTCTAAAGAAGAAACAGCTAACTCTTGAAGACTAAAGCGGAGAGGCCAGACAGCCGAGAGAGACACAGAATTAAGAACTGTTAAAGTCCTTAAAATTCAGTTACAGGTCCTTTTATGGGATGTGCTAGTCTACATTTTTTTCACCTGAACGATACCATTTCCACTCTATACATGACCTGCGAAGGCGTGAAAGACAGAAACTGTAAACTTACACCATCTGCAATTATTTTGTTTTAAACAAGGGAGACTCTTAATTGATATATTAAGGTATTTTATTTCCTCACAGACTGGGTGTGGGTAGTAAGTGCAATGAAATATACAAGGAAAAGCCCCTTTCGGTCTATACAGGGGCTCAATCATTTTAATAGTGAGTGGAAGTGTGAAAAGGGCACTTGTAAGGACAGTTGGGGAAAGGTGCCCTGCATATTAAGGAAACAGGTAACAAGGAAAACTAAGTGAATAAAAATTGCCTTCAGCTAGTCCAACACCGATTTTGGGACCCAGTGCGGGGGAGGGGCGTCTGATGCCGGGGTCACAGGGTGGGGGGAGGGATGGCGTGGCGGGAGGCCGGGCGGAGAACACCAGCGCCCGGCCCCGGCCGACATCCTGCGATGCTTGATGAACCTACGACCGAACGCGCGCACGAATGAATGGCGCGGGGCTGAAAGGCCGGCCCAGGCGCCGACGCAGGAGGAAGGAGTTTGCGGCGCGGTGTGAGCGGGGCCGGGGGTGGCGTCCGCCGGCGGGACCCGGGGAGCACCGAAGGAAGGGCGCCGTGCGAGTCTCCGGCGCCTGGCGGCCGTGCGTGGACGGCGGGGTCGGCAGCGCCCGGCCCGCCG